TGAGCAGCAAAATCTTGTAAGAGCCTAAAACTTTTACAATTTATACTTGTAAAATCAATTTAGCCAATATAACTGTAGTTATTTGTTTACAATAATTTAAATACTATTCTAGTGAGTGCATAAAAATGAATACATTAAAAATTTACTCTATTTTAATAATAATATATAAAATACTTTTTATAAATGTTACTTTTAATAGAATCTAGTATATTAGTATTGTAATTGATAAAACCAGCTTTGCGCTGAGAAATGAAACATCTTAAAAATTTATCAAATAAAATCTGAAATTTCCATAAAAACTGCAACTTAATGACGTAATATTTTCCTGAGAACTGACGTACGTAGCCATCAGTACCAAAAGAAATAAAGCACTATCTTCTCTTGACAATAAGCACGTCAATTTCTTCTAATGTGCAGTTAATTGTCTTGCAAAGATAATTGTAAATAACAACATTATATCGCTAGATTCAAACATTTAAAAATATGTTTATTATACCTGTATCACAGTTTAAAAAATTTTTTTTTTATTATCCCTTACATTATGATCAATCAAAAATTATTAATATTAACACACACACACACACATATCCGCGTGCATTCTTAATACGGAGAACAATTACGATTCGTAATTTTAGTACACCACCGAAAGTTTTTTTTCATCGATTCTAGAAACCTTTTTGCGCTCTTATTATCTTGTATCTCTTCATTTAAATTATTAAGCTAATATCAAGCTTAATAGGTCACAAAAAATTGCTTCATTTTTGGACCAATAGAGATGGAAAATTCTCTCGAAAGCGAGGAATACCATGGAATATTTTTAAACAACTATTTTTTAATTATCTGGTATTAAACAAAATTAAAACAGAAAAAACGAAAATGATATTGGGAATAACAAAATCATAAATAATGTAGTTACAGTAGACGATGCTTATATAAATCGTCAAAATCATACAAAGTACATAAAACCAATAAAACTTTACGTACCAATTCACTATCTTTATAAAATTAATTCAATTTTTTATATTGATTGCAAAATTGGCCAATAATTCAAATACGTTGAATAAGTTTTGTGGTTCTAAAAAGAACCGATTGTTTTAACATAGCAGTTGTAAGATTTACGAGCTTTTCTCTGTCTTCTTGGGCAGAAGGACAGCTTGGATGTTTGGTAGCACACCGCCCTGAGCAATGGTCACTCCGGAGAGCAGCTTGTTGAGCTCCTCGTCGTTTCGGATGGCCAATTGAAGGTGACGGGGGATGATCCTGGTTTTCTTGTTGTCGCGGGCCGCGTTACCAGCTAACTCCAAAACCTCGGCTGCCAAGTACTCCATAACGGCTGCCAAGTACACCGGGGCACCCGCACCTACTCGCTCGGCGTAATTACCCTTGCGCAGGAGACGATGGATACGTCCAACCGGGAACTGCAGTCCCGCCCTGGTCGAGCGGGTCTTGGACTTTCCCTTAGCTTTACCGCCACCTTTGCCACGTCCAGACATGATTATATCTAAGGTTTAACACCCAAAGTATGTACACGCAGAGAAAAACACGGAGAGAATGCTTCCCTACGCAAAAGAGCCCCTATATATAGGGTTCCAAGCTGCTACTGCGGAATATTCTCCTCACTCTCTGGGGGCAAAGAAACATCTGTCCCGAACGAAATGCTTGCTCGATTCACACGTATAGGGTAGGGAAAGTCAAAGACCGTTGGCTTGGCGCAGCTGCCACAACCGCTCTCAAAAAGTAAAAGTTAATTTTTGAAGTAACCGTTTCAACGCTCGCTAAAAGATGGTGTGCTATAAAATTTTGTACTTACTTAGATTTTAGTTTATATTTATTTAAAAGGGGAATGTTTGTTGCTGTGGTTAGTTTTTGTTGATTTCATATTATTTTGATTTATTCGGAAGAAAAGAAAACCTCCCATCACTTTAATTTCTATGCTCATACAGAAAAAAATTTTGAGCCACAAACGAGCAACAAATTTTCTCGCTTGCAGATTCGTTGTAGCCTCTTCCAAAGTCGAGATACTCGATATATTATGTACTGCTGGCTTGATATTCGCTGAAAGGACCCTTTCAACTCCGAGTCCTTGAAAGACTAGCGACAAAATATTAAATGGCACATGGTTTGATCAACGAACGAGCAATAAATTTTATCGTTTGCAGATTTTCTCTAGACCCTTCCAAAGTCGAGATACGCGACATGTATTGCTGGCTTGATGTCAAGCTAGCGAAACTTGTTACATCATAGTTTTGTAAATAGCAACAAATTTTGCTATTGCTCTACAAATTATCAACAAATGAGTGACAAATCGTTCATAAATTGATAAGTAGGGTTTGCTGGTTTTACTAGATGGATATACGTTGCTAATGGTATAAAAAAAAACAAATTTTTTGAGTGAAATTACCTTCACTGAGTTGTTTCGGTTAATAAATTTGAAATGACAAGAAGAGCTCGAACGTTTCAATTATTTATAGCCCTGAAAAGGACTGATTGTTTGGTTGTGCGAAGAAATTCTTAAGCTCGTTCTCCTCGAATACGCCTTGCCAACTGGATGTCCTTCGGCATGATGGTGACGCGTTTGGCGTGGATGGCGCAGAGGTTCGTGTCCTCGAAGAGTCCCACGAGGTAGGCCTCGCTAGCTTCTTGAAGAGCCATGACAGCCGAGCTCTGGAAGCGCAAGTCGGTCTTGAAATCCTGGGCAATCTCGCGAACCAGACGCTGGAAAGGCAGCTTGCGGATGAGAAGCTCCGTGCTTTTTTGGTAGCGACGGATTTCACGGAGAGCCACTGTGCCTGGCCTATAGCGATGGGGCTTCTTTACTCCTCCTGTGGCGGGGGCACTCTTGCGAGCAGCTTTGGTGGCCAACTGCTTGCGAGGAGCCTTTCCTCCTGTAGACTTGCGAGCTGTTTGCTTAGTACGAGCCATGACTGCCTAAGAGAGATGAACCGATTCGCTTCGTCCAAGAAACACACTACAAATGAATTCAGTCCCAAAAGAACCCCGTTTTTATGGGCTCGCCTAAGCGTGTAGTAATAGAAAAGAATTTGCTGCAGAACGGCTGGGGAAAGGGAAAGTTTTGAAGCCAAATGGTCGTGGAGGGGGCCGAGGAGTAGCGTGAGCCCATAAAAAGGGGGCACTTTCGACAGGGTGGCATCATTCGAGAGTTCGGTCTCTGCTTGTGTACGTCTATCGTTCAAAGGATTTCAGAATGACTGGTCGCGGTAAGGGTGGTAAAGGCCTGGGAAAGGGAGGAGCCAAGCGCCATCGTAAGGTTCTTCGTGACAACATCCAGGGTATTACCAAACCCGCCATTCGCCGTCTTGCCCGTCGTGGTGGTGTCAAGCGCATTTCAGGCCTCATCTACGAGGAGACTCGTGGTGTTCTGAAAGTGTTCCTTGAAAACGTTATCCGTGATGCCGTGACTTACACCGAGCATGCCAAGAGGAAAACCGTCACCGCTATGGACGTGGTCTATGCCCTTAAGAGGCAAGGCCGTACTCTTTACGGTTTCGGTGGTTAATTTATTTTACTCTTCTCGCACATAAACAATCAGTCCTTTTCAGGACTAAAAAACAATTAAACATTGGAACAAATATTTTTTATCATTCAACAGTTCAATTGTTAGTAATTTAAACAGTACATAGTTGAATTAAATTCGTAAAGGGTTAAATGTTGGTTGTAAGTTGGCATGGGTTGCTCACGTTGTTCACCATCATTTATGCTGTAGTATCTAACTTACGATGTCCCTCATACCCAGGAAACTTGTATATTTTCTGGAATTCTTTCAAAACTATAGCTTTGAAATCTACAAAAATTGTTTACATATGATAATACTTGAATTAAATTGAAACACATACTCTTCGAGTGTCAATGTACACGTTTGCTCGTTTGCGTGATCCATACTGGCCCATGGATAAGAAAGTAATATTATTAAAATATTACTACTTGAAGGTATTATAAAACAATTCCTACGAATGAAAATGTTCTTTGAACTAAAAAAAAACAAAAAAAAACAAAAAAAAAAAAAATTGTCTATACAACTAAAAATACATCGAAATGATTAAAAAATATTTATGCTGGGTTTTCAAAAATCGAAAAATGATATTCGCAGTGGTCAAAACTTTTTGTTGAAAAAAATATCTAGTCATCTCCTTTAAAATATACATTAAGGTCTGTTTTTCTTCGATTTACCTCTAACGTCTTTTAATGGAAATCTTGCTCAAAAGCGTTTGTGAATTGTTTGAGAAAAACTAGTCGATTCTAATATTGTACTTATGGCAGTCGAAAAACTTAAAAGAAATTATCTTGTTTGTAACTACTAGGAAATTATTAAAAACTTTCAAGAGATACGACTGACTTTGACGAGTACTGAGTAAAAAAAATTAATATGTACCGTACTAATGAATATAATATTTTATTTGACATGGTATTATGACCATTATGACCTTTTATCGCGATAACATAAAGCATAAAAGAGGATTTTCTATTAATAAAGAGTACATTGTAGGAAATCAAAACGAAAAATCATTTATTGCTCAAACAATTATTTGCAAAGCGATAAAATCAAATGACAACCTTTAACCAATGTAGAAGTAAAAAGTTGATAAGTGTTTATATTGTCAGTGTAACTTGTAATAATATAGGTAATTCTTTTATAAATAAAATTTTTTGTTGTGAAACGTAAATATTATTATTATTACATTTATTTCAAATAAAATTGTTATAAGATGATAATTTATTGTCGATTCAAGATTTAAATTTAAAGTTTGACTATTTGCCGCATTCGTAAAATTTTGGAATTTTTAAAACTGGACTCTGGTAAACCTAGAAAGATTTGCATAACATATATTTGATGTAAACAGTAGAGCAGCTTGATCAAGAGAAATAATAGTAATATCTTTAAAAATTTAATTGTTTCTTGTAAGTCATGGAATATCATGAGTAGATCTAAGAAGTTTTACAAAGGTTCCTTAAATCTATCGAAGCTCTTTGGAAATTTTCCATACATGAGTGACATAGATACATATACATATACTTCTGGTGTCGGAGAAGGCTCGTAGCTTGGTTTTACCAGAGATTTTCAAGTTTTTAAATAAAAGCATAAGAAAGTAGGTGCATCTGGCTTTAATTTGAGTGATTTTTTTCACATTTGTGCGAAACAAGTGTTCCTATTCAATACTTTGCAGTGTATCTCTGTTTTATAGGATGGGGCATGGTTTTACAGCGAGTTGGTACATTGAAAGATCGCTTTGGTGAAAAGACTGTAGTACGGCAAATTTATCGAGAAACTGTGAGATGATGATGCAGTTGTCGTAGATGATATCATGACAGTGTTTACTAAAAAAAGCAGGCGATTGTTTGGTAACTTGAGACTCATAGATTTTAGTTGTAAAGGTTCTATCAAACAAATGTAATGAAATGGCATTGAGTAGAGAGAAAAATTGATTTTTATGAAATTATAGGTAAGACTGACATGGCAAACGTGGCTAAAAGTTTGCCTGTACTTACAGTGGCTCTTTCTAAAGCCGAATCGTGCGATGGGGGACCTACTGCTTTGTTTTCCTGCAATTTCCGTTGGCTTACCCTCTCCTAACCGTAGCTACACTCGTGGGAATAGAAATCGTGACCCATACTAGTAGTTCTCTCTCCCCTACGCTGTAAAAGTAAACCGAGCAACAAAGCAAAGGTACCTTTCGGTGTAGTGGCTCGAAGGGACATAAAAAGGGGCTCTTGCGTGCGTTTTGGCTCATTCTCCGGCCTTCGTTCGTTCGCTGATCTTATACGTTACACTGTATCGAACCAATATGTCTGGACGTGGCAAAGGTGGCGGTAAAGCTAAGGGAAAGTCCAAGACCCGCTCGACCAGGGCGGGACTGCAGTTCCCGGTTGGACGTATCCATCGTCTCCTGCGCAAGGGTAATTACGCCGAGCGAGTAGGTGCGGGTGCCCCGGTGTACTTGGCAGCCGTTATGGAGTACTTGGCAGCCGAGGTTTTGGAGTTAGCTGGTAACGCGGCCCGCGACAACAAGAAAACCAGGATCATCCCCCGTCACCTTCAATTGGCCATCCGAAACGACGAGGAGCTCAACAAGCTGCTCTCCGGAGTGACCATTGCTCAGGGCGGTGTGCTACCAAACATCCAAGCTGTCCTTCTGCCCAAGAAGACAGAAAAGAAAGTTTAAGTGTAGCTCTGAATAGAAACAACAGGCCCTTTTTAGGGCCAACAAATCGTTCGAACGTTAAAAAGCACTATTTTGATTATTAATAACAATTTAAATTTTGACTCTGTTATTCATTCATTATCTACATAATAAGTAATATATCATCTTAATGTTATCATCAAATTATTTAAATGTTCTCATACATTTATTTTTTATCCATCGTCTGGAAGAAATCAGCCATAACTATAGTTGTAAATTACGATTTCGTCCTTGATTTACAAGTATAGTTGTATAGTACGCTCGCTTGGTCATAAGTTACGTATATACTGTGAGACATGTCTCATGACATTATCAATATTTCAGATAAGTAGACGATTATTATGAGGATTGCAGGCTAAAATTATTAATATGTATATATTACCACATACGTGGTTTGCCTAATTTGGGTATTCTCTTTTCTTTTCACCATATTTTTTATTATAAACACCTATTCCTCTATTCTTCAACAATTAGTATGAGTTATTAATTTTCAATGTTTTATTATTAATCCAACCCTCCTCAGATTTGATATGTATTAATGTACATTCTATCAACCACCATTAATATGATTTACTTTATCTTTTAATATATATATATCACTTTCGACAGGGTGGCATCATTCGAGAGTTCGGTCTCTGCTTGTGTACGTCTATCGTTCAAAGGATTTCAGAATGACTGGTCGCGGTAAGGGTGGTAAAGGCCTGGGAAAGGGAGGAGCCAAGCGCCATCGTAAGGTTCTTCGTGACAACATCCAGGGTATTACCAAACCCGCCATTCGCCGTCTTGCCCGTCGTGGTGGTGTCAAGCGCATTTCAGGCCTCATCTACGAGGAGACTCGTGGTGTT